TTAGTTGTTCCTCGATATATTTTGCCTGAAAATATAAAATACATTACAAAACTTATGTAATTACTATTATATAAAAAGAAGAGTTATTCTATTGATAATAATTTTATATTGAAGTACAAATAAATATAATCTACAATCATTTAAATGTATAATTATCACAGTTAAGATAAGTTTGGGAAATGATGCTGTCATTGGAGAATTAACATTTCGTCCAGTTCAACACATACGTTGGTATAATTGCGAACTATCCAAAGTGATCAATTGTTCTCGTGTTCTCGTTCTTTATCCAGGTAATTCGCGCTTATTCATGAACTCAACCGAAACCCGCAATATATCTTGCATGATCACTATACTTTACAGTAGTCCCCGAAATTTGTATGCGTTTTACACGGTAAACCGTCGATCCTTTTGCTCTGAGAACCAACTTCGCTACTATTTCCAACCTTTCTATCAACTTCGCTAGAGAACCGGTTAACATGCTAATGCCATTACATATTAATTTCCATTAATGCCGTTGAGTATTCGGTATCTTGAAAATAAACTGGTAACCAATCGATAATAAATTTAACAAGTGACAAAGGCTGCGGGCGATCGTACTTATAAATCTACTTACGAATTGAAATCATAGTCGCGCTAGTTTCAAGAGTATCAGTCAAATTTTTTAATACAATTACGAATAATTAAATATGAAATATCGTATTATTTAACAATCATTTCAATATCAAATTGCATTATAGATTGCTAATAAATATTTATTATCCTCATTGGACTTGAAACACAATTTGAACTTGCATTTTTTTTTTCAAAGTTATTTTTTGTAAAATAAAAATTTGAGAGTTGTTTGAAAATGGAAGCTTGAAATCTGCATTAGTCGGCACATTAAATTTTATTTTACAAAAGACAATTAGAACGATATCCACATGCCTCATAATATGTAATTGTACAGTTATCAATTTCTTCTGTCGCACATTGGTCGCTAATATAGGTGTAAATCAATAATACAGTAATTATTGAGCGAAACGCATAATTAACGACTGAACTAATTAATGGCTAAAACGTATAAGACTCATTACGCTCGCGAAATTCCAAACGGCGATATATGCGATCGAACAACTTCGATTCCCGAAGTTTGCTCGTGAGATACGCGACGACAGATTATTTCGGACTGTACAGAGACGCGAATGTTCTGTACGCTTCGAAGAAAATAACACGATTAAACTTACTCCGATACGCGCCGTTGAGTCAGGCGATAATAATTGCAGCCGCGGAATAATTAGCTGTACGCGAATGTCCATTTGCGTGAGATAAACCGACCTTAGCAGACTTTAATTTAGAGAAAGAGCCTAATGGACTTTCGAAATTGTTTTCACGATTGTACTACTATGAATCAAGGTCTTTTACTCTGTTTTTTGTTGTAAAAATTGTCTATATTATTTAAATTCTTTAAATCGTTAGATCAAGATATTTGCCTTTCGATGACCTTCAATACAAAATAGTAGTATCGCTTTAATTAAATTACATATTCGTGAGGTTCAGTTTATTCGAATACGATTGTATGCAAATGTGTAATATACAGTAGAAAATCTTCGAAGTTGCATCATAATTTAGTTACTCATTCATTTTTAATACGGGTGATATTGTTCTTTGTAAATTTACAGAAGCAAAATGTGCAACCGTTGTTTTAAACGTGCCGAAATTTCCCTCTGAATTTTTCAATGATTCTGCTTTACCACAAAGCCGTTGGACCACTACAAATTGATCCTAAATTAAGCGGTGTAGTAATATTGCATCAGTACGTGTTACATTGCAGCGGTTTCTCGTTATAAGGTTATAATGAGGTTTATATTTTTAGAATAATATTTTTCAAAGCGTTACATGGTAAAATGTGATACGATCCACGATCTCTTTTGTCACGAAACACAATTTTTCATCGTGTCCTTTTTTTTTTTTTTTTGAGGGCTTGCGTGAATTTTGTGTCGAGTCGACTTAATTAAACACGTTGACTCTTTATCTCTCTATTATAAACAATTATATCTGAAAATGAATTGAACCTAGATTAAACCAAAATTGTTAACATAAATTGATCCACGTACAATCAGCAAAAGCCTCGAAATTCCAAGACATATCGAATCGTACGCCAGTGAATGCTCGAATCGATCCCGAGTGCAATTTAATTTGCGAATTCCCCGCCGTTCCGCGGAAACAACGCGTTTCGCAGAAACGACGTGCCGTGGTTGACCCGCGACCGGCTCTTTGCGGCTCTAATGACTATTGCCCGCCGCGTGGCAAACGACAAAATCAATTCAGGCGCTATGAAGGCGGGCGCCATGAAAAATCGCCGCTGGACTCGATTCGCACGCGATATATATTTTCACATAGGCGGTACGTGCGTTCGCGATCGCCTCGCGAATGTAGAAACGCGTACGTTTACATCCGTACATTGTGCGAAGCGCATGCACGTGGTGCATCGCTTCTCGTACCGAGTACCGATTGGCGTGACGGTACGTTGCATCCGCGGCACGCGCGCTGCGATACCGGGTGTCCGTCGAGAAGGGCGGTTGATTGGTTAGTCCAAGCTGTAATTGCCCGGCTGTAGTCCGGTTTGCGTTTGATCAGGGATAGGAAAATGCTCTTTGAGAATTAGAGACCGACGATTCGAGTAAATTCTATTCTCCGCGTGTCATAAATCAATGGCGCGTAATAAATTCGCAATAGAATTAGGTATTTGAAGTATCGCGAGAAATAGAAAAAAAAAAAAACAGCAACAAATGATAAACTGTATGATAATTTTGGCTGAAAAGTATAATAAGTATAAATTATTTAGAATGTATAAGAATGTATAAGATTATTCATCCTGACTTGCAAACTTGAGCGAACTGGATAAGTTTTTGAAAATCTCAAGTATGATTTCCGTAAACAGATGAAAATATTGTATATATATATATATATATATATATAGTTGGAGCGAGAAAATATCTGACGTAAAATTAAATTTGAACATTGTAAATTAAATCGTTTTCACGGTTCTTCGATGACGAAATGTAGGACGGGATCACGGAGCTTTTGCTCAAATGAATATCGAATACTGTTTGCTAAATTAATGAACGAGCGAAAAACACAAGCTCGCGCTGGCGGGCATATTTCCGCGATGTTAAATATTTATTCAGGAAATTAACATCCGTCACAAATGCACATGTATCGCAACGTACTATGGCGTGGCTCTGATAATTGTTTCGACTAGCATAAATATCATAATTTGTAAAATCCCGCTGATGATTAAACAGCATCCGCCGGCGTTGAACTGACGCTCGGAAATCTTTTCGACGGAGCCGGCGACGCAGCAGAGTTAAACACGTCATGCTGGTGTGATAACGGTCAACTATTCGGCCTTTGGATAAGGAAGTGAAAAAAATCCCGTTATCGCCGTTTGTATCACGAACCATTCTAGGGAGTGGAGCGGAATCAAGCGGAATTATAACTGGCGTAAGCGAATTGTAGCTGCCTGTGAGATAAAAAACTTATGTCTTTGAGATATTGAATGCATTTCTAGAAATTATATAAGAACGAGTGTTATTTTTCCATATTCTTATTTTCCTCGAAATATGTACTCAGTAGAAGTATCGAACGGAAAGTTTCTTCTTTTTTTTAACAGCGCCAATGAAACTTTCGCGACAGTCCAATAATGCTCATAATTACGTAAAGATTCGTAGAATTCTAAGAAAATTACGTTTCCATGTCTTTTAACTCGCACAAAGCGTTTATATGTTCAGAGCAATGAAATGATTAATTATTAACAATTTCGTTTATATACATATAATTAAGTCCTCGGGTATTTTCGAATGTTGCGATGAAGTTCCGACAATTGTGATAATTTTATCTCTTCGAATTACGTTCTGAGTTTACTAAAAGACGAAAAAATGAATTCCTCATACAAATGCAGTTTTTTCTTTCCTCTCGGTTTGCCATATGCATAACCATGTCCTTCGAAAACCACCATGTCCGGTTACACAATCACGTGCGATCTGCATAATTTCGCGTGTGATTCTCGCTGGAAGAACTGCATCCGCGTCTCACAGCTACGAACATCCGCGTGCTTTTCTCTGGAACCTTAATCATCGTCCATCATTTCCTATGACAAACAAGTCAGCCGCGCGCGTTATAGCGATATGCGCGTGCGTGAATTTGTGCAGTGGGCTAGATATCGTCATCCGCAGCGGGTACATTTCGCGTAACTCACGATTATGCAACCGCGATTATAAAACCGCGTACCACTTACTTTAGCATATACGATTACAATAGCGATAGTTAACATTCAGAGAAATATACTTTGGCGGACGTATTGCCCGGCTTTTGCCGGGCCATAAAAAAGGGTGGTACCATGCAATTATTCAAGAAAACTATTTCAAGATCGATAGGCCAGAAACGATCCACAATTGTAAATTTATATTCTATTTGACGAATCAAAATCGGATGTGCTTATTATATACATAAATCTAACATTCTATTTTTTTTCGAGCAATAGATTTATACGGTTGTTCGAAAAAAAATTATTGAAGCTGCAATCAAATATTTCAGCTTTAGGAAGCTTTTTATTAGGCATCGATTAATGAGCACATTCGACGAAAACTTATCAAAAGGTATGTAAAGTGTTTGATATTTTTACTTTTATTTTTGATAATAATGAGTTGGATACTCAGCTTTGTACTTACTAAATTCTTTGGAGTGAAATATTACTCCAAAGAAATTGAGCCAATTCTGAAAAAGAGTAGCTCAATTTTCAATCTTTAAAAGTGAAATTTCTCTAGAATGAGACTCCAAAAGAGAGATTTTAGAGAATACGAGCCTTGAAATTTGTGTCAATCTCAAATAGGTATGTTCTATTGAGTGCAGCATACAGAATGTTCGTTTGCCTTATTGAAAGTAAAACTTCATACATATGTACACGGGTTCCGGGTAACCGGTGCACATCATTGTTTGATGTAGTTGCGGTGGTGTCACAGGTCTGGAACGGGTAGCGGAGGAGTTGATGGGCCGTAGGAGATGGAAGCAATACCAGGACACCCTGTACAGCGGCACCCGCAGCAGCGAATCACAGCCCCACCATCGGCTTTACCCGGCGTTGTCGTCGTCCTGCAACCCGATACCTGGGAGTCTGGACCAGATTGGGCCGCAGCTGCATCACCCGGCACCCACGTCGTTGTCGTCGACGGTGCTAACGACGGCGACGACCACGACGACAACGACGACGACGACGCTTGCGACCGGTGTGGTGAAACAGGAGAGTCTGCAGAGGCATCATCTGCAGAACCACCATCACTTACCCGCGCCGGTTCAGGACCATTTACAGCAGCAACAGCAAGAGGATTCGCGCCGTCTAAGGCCGGGCGAAGTCAAGATCGAGGCCGCCGACGAGGAGCTCACAGACGGTGCCGCGCGGGAGGATACTTCGACGAGGACGACGGATACGACGACGTCGACGACGGTGACGACGACGGCGGAAGTAGCGACAACGACGGCAACGGCGACGACCATCGGCATCGCGACGACCACGTCGACAACGACAACCGCGACCGGCACGACGACGATAGCGACGAGACGGCGACGTGGACGCCGGCAAAACGACGGGCAGGACGTCGACGGGGAGGAGGACGGCGAAGAGAACGACGAGGAAACGGGACGGGGCCAGAACGAAGCGGAGAAACGGCTCAAGCTCGACGAGGACGCCGACAGGTCGGCGGTCAGCCCTCTCAGAACGGAGAACGATCGTGCGACTCGGGATCATCCGACTGCCAACGCTACCGACACGGAAGGGACCAAGGTTGGTATAGATTTGTGTAATAATCATTTATATTATAGCTTGTTCTTTTTAACTAAACTTTTTATCATTATTTTCCCATTTTTTTTCTCGAATTTGGAGAAAAAGGAGATGGAGAAGATGAATCGTGCAAAAATTTAGTTGAAAAGAACTGAACTATAGAGAACGTATATAGAGAATAAAAATAATGAAATAATAATTACTCTATAGAGAGACTAAGTTAAGTATGACAAGAAAATAATAAAATTCATTTTAATTAATTGTTTAAGATTTCACAGCAACTTGAAAATTTTGTCTCACATTCTCCGACTTTGTTTACATTGTTTATCTCTTTATTTTAGGAACGAACGGAGGAAATCGCGTTGGAGCGGGCACCGGTAACGCAGGGCTTACTGAGGGTAAAGAAAGAGGAGGAGCTGCAGGAAGTACCGGGTTCTGGCGGTACCACGATACTGACGACACCGGCGACGGATTCGGAAGGGACCAGGTCGGGGCTGTTATGCCGCGACGGGAACGCAGCCGCGACGAGCGTCGCGACGCCGTTTCTCCTTGGAAGACGCACGAGCCCGCCGCCGGAGGACTGGAAGCCGCTCGACAAGTGTTACTTCTGCCTCGACGGCAAGCTACCCCACGACGACCAGCCGCCCCTTGTAAGTACCCTGCGGCGAGTCTGCCGAGTGTGAGGTTGCGCATGGCTGAGCATCGACCTCGTCCTTCATTGCTAATTTTGTGTAGAGATTATTATCCGCGGAAGGGATGCGGACCGGAATAAGTAAACGAACGCATAAGTAATATTTCTTCACGCGGAATTCGGATCCCAAGATTCTGCGATTCTGCGATTCGACGAACGCTTCGAATGATTCGAAATCTCGAAATCTCGAAATATTCCGACGGTCTTATCGATGATTTATCGAGATTGATAGATGAATCGTTGCACACTAATGCTGTTCGTTTCTTCTGCAATGCACTTATGCAATCGCGTCATCGGAATCTCGTTTCAACCTCGTTCCATACACCTGTTGTGCCATCGCGATCGCGGCTCGAGTCTGACCTAGCCTTCCTTCTTTGCTACTTTTGATTTGACAAGCCGAGCGTACTTCGTACTTTGGCGCCGGCCGCATCGCTGTATCGCCAGCCTCTCAGCTTTGATCACTTTGACGCGCCCATAAAAAATTCACGAGGACTCGCGAAGGCGGCGCGCCTTACGAGAAATGAATTCGATCAGAATTCGATCCTGCCGCATCGCGTCTTCTCGCGGATCTCACCCTGGTGTCCTTTCTGTCGTCCAATCAATCCACACCGGCTATTCAGTCAGGTAGTTCCTTTTCGTATCGCGCGAGCCGGGATGACACGTTTCTTCGTGTTGTGCCCCGCAGAGTCCGCAGAGCGACAGTAGCAGCAGCTCGCGATCGGCGGAGTCACCGATGTCGGTCCAGGTGGATCCGATGGCGGCGTCCGTGGTCGCCGCCGCTCTCAGCGGCACTTACCCCACCTTGCTGCCCCAATGGTGCTTACCGCCGAGGGAGGCGCCCCTTGTTGGGGTGCAGACCCATCAGGACAGCGCCGCGGCGGCCGATCAACCGCTCGATCTCTCGGCCAAACCCAGAAATTCTCAGGTAAGTTCGAGATCGTTCATTCTATCGCGTGAAAACATACGGTTTTTCTCAAACATCTTCATTATTCTTGCAATGTGCTCGCTCAAATTTATTTGGACATTGAATTCGCGATAAGACGATCATACGTTGCGCGATTCACCAAGTGTTTGATGAAGGATCACATAATGAGTGGAGACGATTGTAAACGATGTGCAAATTATCCGTAACTGTTATCATACTTTTTAGTGAGTTGTCACGATGGGATCGTTTTTTACGCGACGATTGCTACTTCATGTATTGCTAAACAATAATTCCTTTCATATAGTGTGTTTTATTAGTGCTTCCTAGTCTTGTTCTTAAGTGACTAACGCTGACGTCTAAGTAACTAGGCTGTATGCTTGCGTAATATTAAGTTATTTATTTGTTTTATTTTTATCACTCGACGGTTGTTTTGTAACTAATGTTATTATTCATTTTGTTTGTTCAGGACAACAACATATCTCTATTGGAGCAACAGAAAATACCTCTGAGAATGCCGACAGGCATCGATCCCAAGACTATCCTGAAGTAAGTAATCTTTTTACTTAACTCATTTTCTTACTTAATAGGGAACGATATAGGATGCTTTTTACTAATAATAAAAAGTGACAATTAAGTGAGATATGCATTAACAAATGAGCCACGGTGTTTTTAATTTAAATTATAAATATATGCTGTACGTTATTCATGAAAACACACACTCATATTTGTTTTAATCCAATAGTTGTTGTGCACAAAGATGAAAGTTGAAAAAATTTCAATCTTTTGTTCATAAATTTCATATTATATCTTTACCTTCCCTATGTTTTACTTAATTTTATTCATAAAATTTGTTTTCTTTTATTAATGAACTTAATAATGTGTCAATGCTAAAGTGATAAATGTTTTACAACTATTTCAACTTCACATTTAAATGATAAGAGATAGAAGTGATAAAGTTCTTTCTAAAAGTGCGCATTAGAAAACGAAAAAAAGCCAAATGATAGCCAATGGAAATGATAAGTTCAAACTCGTACGAGTATTTGGCTTTGATGAGAGAATGTTCTTTCTCACACGTTGGAAAATCGTCGTTTGTCAATGACAATGAGGCATCGTTTCGGCGTTATCGCACAACTCGCTTTACACCTCGAGGCGAGTCACCGATAGGAATATGCATTCCGTATGCGAATGTGGAGGGGAAAAAAAAGAATACGACCCACGATCGCATTCCGTAGCGAACGTTCTTCGTGATCGAGTGGCCGTTTAAGCTGGGCCGGGCGGGCGTTTCGATAAGGCGTCGATTAAAACACCGCAGGCGAACGACTTTCGAAAATCGCGAAACTGACAGCCAGTCGATCCGGAATGCCGTCGCAATTAGGTGCCAATCACGCGGCCGGGCATAACCGTGATTTATCTCTCTCGTAAAGACGTCATGCGCGACAACGGCAGAGGGGAATCGTATCGTTCGTTCGACACTGGTGCGGGCTGATCGAGTTCGCGGTCGTGTGCTGCATTTTCGGATTTATCCGGACAAATATGCGGAATAAAATCGCCGCAAATTGATGTGATATAACTAAAATCTTTGAGATTCTTTGTCTTAATTGGTTTGTTTATATAACTAAAAATATCATGTTTTCATTATTTATAATCACTTAGATTTTCATTATTTATAATTAATTAGGTTATTATTTTTCATTATTTCATAAAAAATGAATTCGTCGAACATTAAACAATTTTTACATTTGAGTAATTCATAAATATCTGTGCTGTAATTGTACTTTTAGGTAAACAGGATTGTAGATAAAGAGATGCGGCGGTTATCAGAACTTAGGATTGCGGCGAAGCTCAAGTTTGTTAAATGAACTTGGTGGTTCTATTGAGTCGAAATAATACTATTGCGAATATTCGACTATCTTAGATACGTTAGAGATGTATGCCGTATTTTCTGTAGGAAAAATAATAACTTTAAAATTAATATACATACAAACACGCAAAAGTATTATTTGTTATAAATTTTACAAATTTATTAATATTATAATAATCTAAACATTTATATATTTTATTAATAATTTAAAATTAATAAAACATGATTTTACTAATTTGAGTAAGAATGACTGATGATGAAAAACTATGACGAAAAATAATGATGAAATAAACAGTATATTTAAAACAAGATATTTGATTATAACTATTTAATTAAATTGTTTGGTATCGTGAACGATTCTGAATTTTCTGCATGGGTACGATGTTTTCCTTGCGATTCGTAGCTATCACGCTGCTACAATGAAACGATGATAATTCCAATGGCTTTTGAAAAAATTATTTTTCTTGGTAAAAAAAAACACACTCAATTCGCATTGAACTAACTTGAAAAGATGATTACGAATCTCGTAAACTAATCTGCTAAAATTTTTTTTTGCTATTGGACTGAAAGTCATTTTCATTCATTTACATATCGTTATAATTTACAATGATGTGCTTTTAAATAAATTGATAATCAACTATTTACCATTTGATATTACTGCGCAAATGTCATATTTAATAATTATTATTACAATTAATTTCTGCAATAATTTTTTCTTTTATTTTTATGAAATTTTAATTAGATTAAAAAAAATTAATAATTTTGAAATTTTAAAATTTATTAAAAAAAATTTTTTTAATTAGATAGTTACAAAGAAATAAACGGTTTCATAAAATTTATTCTAGACTATCATATATATCATCACAAAGGATGTTGGAAAATAATTTACTGTAAATTGCAATTATTTTATGAATTATTAAATTTAAGTTTGTAAAAATATTTTCTTTTTTTGAACGAGGAAACTATTGTTAGTATTTTTCCTGTAATGTAAAGAGAATAATACATTCTTTGATTAAACTGTCACAACTAGGCAGATCGTTTATTGCACGACTCTCACACGTAAATGTTTAATGTATCGCGCTTTAGTGTTTTAAACTGTACGAAAAAATTTCGTTGTAATACGTTTGTGCGATCGTGGTAAGCAGCCGGTATCCTACAAACCGTAATAATACCGACGAGTTGCTTGAACTTTGCAACCCTTTGAGCTTTAAACTGTTATACGTCTGCGGTACGTACCTCGATAAATATTTAAGCAGTCCGTTTCACAGAATCGATGCAACTCGCTTGTGGTCTCGAATACGAAACATGATGAAGCAAATTTCGTAAACCTATCCACGCCTAAATAAATGACAACAAAGGGAAAGTTTTATACATATTTTATCTCGTTTCTCTGTCGCGAAGACAGTATGAAAGAGATTATGAAAATATGATATTAACGCATAGTTCTGTGCATAGTTTCGTGTACAACTCATATATAAAATTTAGGAAGTCCTAATAATGGATAAATATCCATTTTAGTGAGATTTAAATTTTATTTTGAAAACTTGAAATTGTTCTAATTTTCTGATCATTATTAAAGTTATAGAACAAGTATAATATATTACATTGATCGACAAAAATTTAATCCTTAAACAGATAAGATTTTTTCTACTTGCAATCACGACAATTATTATCTTTGCGAAAAATGGAAAAGATCGGTAGTTCGAGCGATTCGAATGTGTCAGATTGTTGGAGTACGTTGCCCCCATGTTTTCGCTGCTTTCCCTCGCGGAACATTTTGCGCGTCAAATTTTTATCATCGTCTATTATTAGTCCACCGTAATCTGTACCTCCTGACATATCGAAGATGCAGAGTACCTCGAGTATGTCGCGGCGCGTAATAAAGAAGCGTAAAGAGACTGAAACGTAAGAAAGAGAGAGCGAAGGAATGAAAAGAGTAGGATAGGAAATGAGTAAGAGAAGAGGGAAGAAAGTTCGAAGGGGAAGAGAAAAGAAAGAGATCTTGGCGAGAGAGACGTTTGCGCCGACGCATATACACGACTGCGTAATTAGCGATAAGATAGGACCGCCGACAAAACCGTCGCGTCGAAATTAAGCCTAATTTTAAACTAGCGTGTGAACGTTTCAACTTTAATGTATGTATTTGGACTTAGCAAATCTATATAAACTGTATTGTATCAAAAATATATAACAATTAGCAATAGAGTTCGTAAATATGACGAAAGACAATTAAAATAATTAATTTGTCATTTTATGTATTTGTCATTTTTCTAAAGAGATTTAAATATTTCAAAATTGTGAAAGAAAAAACAAATTCATTAATTTTTAATAAAAGTAAATTCACGTAGCATCCATAGATGAAGGAAGAAAGTGTCAGTAATGTTCTGCATTTTTGATCAACAAGTCAAGATATATTACAATTTATTAGATGAATTAAGGATCCTACATAATTATTTTTTACTGGTCCAAATAAAATTATTTTCAGATCTATATCTAGCTAAATTTTTAGATACTTCAAAATTGTTTTTTTTTTGGTGTATATTTACGGATTTGCAATATAATATTATTCATAGTTTATTGGGAGAATCCACATTTTAAACTCTATATATTTTAGAGATATTAATATTTATAGAAGATTTTTGTCTTTTTTCTAATATGTTGTTTGTAATAAATTCGTAATATAAAAACTTAGTTATTTGTTTAAATACGATTACGTATAAAATTTCTAGTAACGAGAGAATTGCGTGGGTTGTTAGATATCGTTAATGCACCTATAGCGTAATACCTATTAAATTCATGCGATAGGCACGTTAAGTTTTTCTACTTTGGTGCTACACAAAGTAGACAAACTCAAGGTACTTAGCGTCGTCTATAAACGGACATTGCGTAATTAGTCTAGTTTGACTAATTTCATACTTTTCTTTAAGTACTGCCATTTACATTGTTATGTCGCGATTTTTGTTTCAATCTTTTTATGCTGTTATCACATCCGTTTCATTTATATACGAGGCTAAACTAAAATTTGTTGCGTCTCAACAAATTGTATTAAATTATATTAAATCAAAAAGCTAGTATTATATGTTGTTATTTTATTGTAAATATTTTATCGTAAACATTTTTTAATTGGATTGTATATACTAATCGTAATGAATATTTCATATTTTTGTTCTATGTTTTAATGTAAAATAATAATATAAATTCCTTAGAGATATAATATGAGAAATACGAGTCGATCGGTTAGATTTAAGAACGTGTCTTCTCATGGCAAGTAGCCATGAAGAAGCGAAATTAGACGTACAGTTTGCACTTGCGCGCGTCCGCGATACTGGAAAAATAGGCGAGCTGCAATAAAACCAGACACCGGGCACTGAAGTAAAACCGGTTCGTAGAAGGCTTTGGAGAAGGTTCGCTGGCCAAAGAGATATTGACGCCGCTGCGAAGGACAAGATTACGACTATCTGGTTCGCGATTGCGTGAACCTTGTGATTTATGTCAGAATTTACTAAACTGAACCATCCAATTTGATCATGAAACCTTGGTTTCCGGCATCTGTAAATATGTTGAAGATGTCTATTTTAATGTTTGTTTTTAACATCTTTGCTAAAGACTTCTCGCATGTTTGAGGAATTTTACATTATTGCACAGAGATAAATCTCTGTTACTTAAGTTAAGGAATTCGTTCTTGACACAGATTAATATATTACATTGAAAGTATAACGCGCGATACAGTGTTTCTTTTGCGGAGGTGTGCGACAAGGAGTCCGCGGCGCGAGGGTACACGTTTTTATGATCCGATGATAAAGTCTAAATTCCTTGCGGTTAGATACACGTCGTCTTATTTGGCGGATGCGAATACCGTTCTCTAATACGAAATTATTGCGACGATATTACTTGTGGAACGTTGAACCTGAAACGCACGTGGAACGCGGGACGACCGAGTTTCCGATGGCGTCCGTTGAACGTAGCGCGTATCTTCGCGTAAAACCGCAGATGAGCCAACAAACAAAAATTACAGATAAATCAGCGCCGGTCGATGACTACTGACGTAGCGGGACCTATCCAGCAAGCCAGCGTCGGACGAAATGCACTTTTATCAGTGGCACAGGTCAACGAACTTGCAAAGGAGGGCTTCACGGTGCAAGCGGGGGTGGAACGGCGAAAGGGGAGCGCGAAGCTCGCGATGATTTCTTACGCCTAATCTTATCGTTGCGCTCCATGACAAATTACACCGACCCGATATCCATCACCTTCGTGCCACGTCGCGTTCTTTTATGCTAGCGCGAAATATTACTGAATGCTTTCACACCTAAAATTGTTATTCTTCGCGTATTTAGCGCGAGGTGATTAGGTGATTAGGAACAACGTTCTTGGGATGGTTGAGAAAATTTATTGTTGCATAAAAATAACTAAGAGGAAAGTTTTTATTGTCTTATATTGAACTTTTTCATATCGTCTTTAGATTTTATATATATATATATTTAAAGATGTTATTCTGAGCTAGTATTATATAATTGTTTATTTTTATCTGTTTCTTTATTGCAATCCGATAGAATAAGATTTATTTTTATAAAAGTTGACAGTAATGAATGTTTTATGAATGTCACAGATATTTTAGAATAATTAGCATCAAAATTACCTTGTAAACATAGTGTTTACAGGAAATGACGATATAAAATTGATGATAGCAATAAAAAGAAAATTCTAATAAACATGTATAATAAATATATTTATACACGATTTGTATCTCCTGGCAATTTAACCAGTGTTTTAATTTTCATCTTATCATAAATAAATCTTGTTTATATAATCGTACTGCGAAATGATGTTTATGTAAATGAATGTGTGTGTTTAAAAAAGCATAAATGCTCGCTTTTTCTGGTTAGAAATCGATTAATGCAATATGAGAAATTGCCGAGTTAACGCGTTTTTCAGTCTGTTCGTTTTAAAAACTTAATTTGCGTGGCTCGATGTTCCCCGAAGCCAGGATCAAAGCTATACGGATTCGCAATTCGCCATTGGCACGACGCCAAACACGTGCAAGCATCGGGATGGCCACGTGGCCATTTGATGCGGGTTGCTTCTCGAGTTAGTCTAGGAAACGTGGATACACGTGAGTCTGCATTACGAGAAACGCTGAATAATCTGACTTTGTTACATATACACGAAGTTCACGAGTGAATATCGAACGCGTCCATTGGCCAATCGATTATCGAGCCTCACAGTCTCTTGGCTACTTGCTTGTCTACGATATCTGCTATTTGAATGTTTCATATTCAAACTATGTCTCAACTAGGTCCATAATTCTTTCATAATATTTCTAAAGAGAAAATACAAATAGAAAATATAATATTCAGCTAAATATTTTATTGTATTTTTTACCGATAGAAAGATAAAGAAGACAATAAAGTAAATTATTTTGTGCGAGATTGATTTTTTTCTTCAAACGATACTATTTTTTAATATATTACTTCTTCCTCTGCGCAGTTTATATGCGCAGTTTTGGAAAGTAAAATTAATTTTCTTTGACTTTAGTATATGACAGAATAAACGAGATTTCTGTTATGATGACTGACGGATAGTTATAGAAGCTATCTTAAAAGTCGGACCAGCGAAATGGAAAACTCGAGGGACACAAAAATAAGTTTTCCTATATGATAAAATGCAATTGACAAGCAACGCGAATTTCAATGAATTGTTTCCGTTACGTGACATCTTTCAATATTTTATATAGACATTTGTAGTACACGATGAAGGTTTCAGAGACGCGATATTGCAAACTCGGCTCACCAAGCATTCATTCGACGCTCATTTCCATGTACCTAACTATATGCTATCCCGAAATTACGTTTTGAGCGGCTCTCAACATTGCAGGCAAAAACATCATCAGGTACCTGGCCTCGATATAACGTTGATTAATGCTGTTTCAGCTCGTGTTACCGCGCGAAACCGCGAATGACCGGACCGGTTGTGACCGCGGCGGCAGCGGCGGGGGGACTTATACCGAGGAGGAACTGCAGGCCGCCCTCAGGGACATCCAGAGCGGCAAGCTCGGCACGCGGAGGGCAGCGGTAATCTACGGGATACCGCGTAGTACTCTGCGCAACAAGGTCTACAAGCTCGCGATGGAACGCGAAAGGGACGCGTCCCTGACTAGCACCCATTCACACCCTCACGAGCCCGGCGCCCCAGCCACCACCACCACCACCATCACCACCACCACCACCACCACTACTACTACTACAACACCACCAAATACGACCCAAAACGCCTCCGCGACCACTCCGCCCCCGCAAGTGGACGAGGTAGGTTTTGGGGACAGACAATGGAAGATAGCTAGAGATCTAGAGAAGGAGAGAAAGAGAGAGACAGAAAGAAGGAAAGAAAGAAAGAAAGAAAGAAGGAAAGAGAGAGAACAGCGAGAATGGTCGAGATGCAGAGAGCGGGGAGTGGAAACGTGCCACCGACACGTGCCGAAGTCTCGTTGGTCTTTCACGCGTGTCGTAGAAAAGCCGAGGATGCAAATTGGCATAGACAACGGCTGGGGAATCTCGTGAGGGAATGATGCGACGAACCGAAGCGACGCGCGAAGATGCTATATATCGTGTATCTTCTTTTATCTTCGGAGTTTCCGTTATCGATGTCCGATGTTTCTCATCCGGAAACGAGTCGATAGCGCGACAAAATTATTTCGGAGTTGCTGCGTTGACTCGTTTCAAATAACGCGCAATGTCGATGTTGATACCGCCGCGTATTTCATGATCTATTGCGAGTGCCTAATGATAGCTGTTTATATTATTTTGATTTACAAATTACATATCAGATTCATATTGGCGATAAATTACGAGACAAATGTTAGAAAAGTCGAAAAAAGATAAATCAAGCATTTTATCTGATATATTGTTTTGAAAGAGATGTGTCATAATATCTCTGTACGTTAATTATTATATAGCACCAAAAGTGAAAAGAGATATAAAAAGCTGTAAAGATAGGTAGTATCTGATTAGATTTTTATTGAAAAAATTGATATCAGATTGATTAACGATTTTATAAGGGAAACAATTTTTTGTCGTTAGATACATTGCGATAATGATTATAAATATCTATGAGTTATGTTTTCTATAAGTTTGCACAATATGTATCGATTGAGAAGAAAAATATCCTCAAAGATATCAATTAAAAAGATAAACGATATATAAAGAAATGTTATCTTAGATAATTTTCTCAGAAGTATAAAATTATAATCACGGTAATTTCCAAAGTCATTTATCAATGTTATAGATTATAGAATATTGTCGGGCACTCGAGAAATCTATACGATATCTTACGACTTAAATCGTCCGCGTGCGAGTAATAAGTCTTCATGATTTACGCGGCAAAATAGGCCGATTACCATGCAGAGGAACATGGAAGGGGATGGGAAACCGAACGATGCACGAGGGAAATCTCGTCGGGAAAATTCGCGAATATATACCGTTCATTTGTATCTAAGTGTGGTTTTGGTTAGGAAGAACGAATGAAGCTTCCCCAAAACATACCTCTGGCACGGCGATCGTGGATCTCGCATGGACTGAGTGTCGCTAAACGATACGTTTATAGTCGCCCAATTTATATTCGGTCGACCAGTAATTTCTGTGATTATAGTTTGATGTAGTTTAAAAGTAGCTTCATTAGATTATGATCACATTCTGTTAAATTTTGTATTTATGTATAAAATAATATACACTTTTATTTCGATAAAAATTATTAAATCTCAAATTTTGATATTAAATATAGATAATGTGAATTTTATATATTTTTTCTAATCACTTTATCTTTCTTATTTTGACTTTTATGTTTTTGAAGATATAATTATTAAATTACAAATAATTCATGAAAAAAAAAACAGAGAAAGAAACATAGAGAAGAGAGAATATTCTTTTTTTAATGTTGCACAATATTGATTAATTAAAGAAAAGTATATAGGAGAAGGATATGTCGACCTGATAAAAGAAGAAGGAGACGAAAACTGTACGTTTGTTCGGTAATTTTATGCTGAAGGAAAGAGACGATAGTCTACGCGGTTCCGTATCGGTCGCCGTGATGCTCCGTAGTGTCCAGTGTTTTCTGCATGGGCTGTTTAACTTTTTTTATCTCACTATTTGTAGTTTAACACACGGCAACTTGGTGTCCGCGAGGTTGCAAGATTCGAGGTAAGTTTTTGGGAAGGTCGTGTCGAGACGAAAGAAAAATTTGTCCGGGCTCGATCTTTCTTTCGTTCTTAAAGGTGCTTATAGTCGCGCCACGGAATTCATAAATGTACGCTTCTGGACCTCGACACTCTGCATCCTCGATGTGTGTCGTGCATACAATCCTCCGCATAGAGACGTCCAATCAAATCATTGTTTTGAAATGGACAGATCACAATTTCAGTGTAAACGTGCCGGTCATCCGTGAAACAATCGCACGATTGAAGATTACGGCAAATTAAACGCGGTGGTTCAATTTAATCCTCATCATCTGATAGTGTCTCTTGCTGATTCTCGATTCTCAATTTGATAACGATTTATTCTTTTTGAGGGCGAGAATTGATTTCAATTAAGTAATCAAAGATGCCAAGGACATTAAAATGTACAAAAACTTTCGATTTATATCAGAAAAGTATATATTGTAAAAAAGTGTTTAGTGTTCTATTCAGAACATAGAATAACATTTTTGAAGGAAAAAAACATTCAGTAAGATTGAAAAAATATTATCATAAAATTGTGTGAAATTAAATTTGAGGCGTTTAATGCGTAATACGAATCGTCTTCTTCGAATCGAGAAAATATCCTGCATTCCGTACTTTTTGTACTTTTCTAAAAATTATAATTGTATCGCACGGTCTGTTGGTTGTAATAGTTGCTACTTAAAATCGTCTGCCGACTAAACTTTGCCTCGGCACGAGCACTAAGAGGCGTTTTTTTACGGTATAACTTGCCGAGCTTACAAGCACGGTCTATGCATGAGAATGGTTAAAGTCATTTTTCGTGCTTACATTTTGTGCGATCGCGTATCGCGCGTTTATATACATAGCAACCATCATAGAAGACTGTTGCTTCACTTTTAGTGCAATGCATGCTCCTTAAACGAGTCCCGAGTGGTATCTCTACACTTGAATTCCGGCGTATCTCGTCGAAATGCACGCCGAAGATAAGCTTTTCTCTACGTGAATTCTGCCCTCTTTTCCTTCTATTGAGAACTAGAAGGGGAAAGGTAGTCGCAATTATTGTCTATTGGCCGACTGTTGAGAGCATTGAGAGCATTTTTCCCGTAAAACATTTGCCGCTGCTTTCGAAAATACCATTTACTGATTAGCAGCTCTCCTGCATGGTGCTTGGCTATTTTACATTTGATGGCGATACATGTACCAAGTGGTTTGTGTAAAGTGACTCAATTGAATATTTTATGTTAAGTATTGAAGGATGAAGAAAGAAAAATAAAGGATAATCTTTAATTTTGTTCTTTGTATAAAGATGATTTGTTTTATTTTGTTTCTTTTTTTTAAGGATAAGTTAAATGTTAAAGTTTATAAAAAAGTTTTAAAGTGATATTTTTAAGATTCTTAAAAAAGATAAAGCTAGCGCATGTGATTCCTTTTACATAAAATCTGTCTGCAACGTACCTCAAAGCTTTAAAGCACCTTTTCCAGCATTACGTTCTTTTCCATTTTGATATTTTTTAAAAATATGCAATGCGGTCACTTTATGGGAAACACTTTGTATATATTTACATGGACAATTAATTTACATCTACACACGATACAAATACACGTACACTTCAGACACACACCTCTCGATGAAGCACTCTCGAACAAGAAGTTGTCATACTTATGAGCAGTAATGGTTACTTAATGACTATCGATAACGAGAAGAGCAATGCTTCTACTCACGTCTTCGGAGACGGGGTGGAAGCTTCTACTTTTATTTTCCTCGAGAGGACAACTTGATTGTAATTTGCAATTTAGATGCTCTTTTATACTTGAAAATATGTAGAAAACGCTAGAAGAGATTTTTTGGAAACAGGTGGACGACAAAGAATTATCCGGTGCAGAAGAGGAGAAGGAAGTCGAGAAGGCCCTGTTGAAGCCTCTGCTGTCATTGGAGGATCTCGTGAGGTTTTCTACACTCGAAGGAACTGGTGGTGATTCTCTCAGAAACTTGTTGCAACGAGGACATGAGACAGGAGCCGAATGGCCGGGATTAGAACACGCGAACATCGGTCCCTATATTCAGAAAATGTTGGCTGCCGCTGCACCATTAGGTAAAATTAATCATCTAAGTTTCCTAAATTACAAAATGATATCGTAAATAGCTTAAAAGCTATTTCATCAGTTAAAGAATTAATTTATTTTTTATTTTTGTCAAAGAATTTTGTCTATCAAAGTTCCGATTACAATTAAATTCTTAATAAGTCAGTTTCATGTTTCTAAAATTTAAAATAATTAATTTTTTTATATTTATTAATGTAGTAATATAAAAATTAACTTGCTGTAAAATAATTTAGCATATTGATATTCGGCATTTGGGTCATTTCCAAGCATTAGTTTATTTTGTCCATTGACTGACTAACCAATCTACGTCAAGAGAGGAAAGCCGAAAAGTGTATTACGCCACAATAGGACTTCTGAAATCGATAGAAGCCAGGCCTTAGTTAATCAGTTCGCCGATATTTTCTCTGCCTTTGAAGACTGCAATTCAATTTGAATAGCTTGCATCTGTATTTGAAATTATGACGTACACTCAAGAGAAACAAAAAATAAATTCAAAATAATCGCGATTTTTGTTGAAGTCATCATTAAATCTGTATTAAAATATTTTCATATTATTTGAAATTTCTACATAGAATTCTAATAGATAGCCTTTCTCACATAAAGTCATAATAATAGTTTCAATTTATACAATTCTCTCTCAGATACTTAAAGAAACAACTGATTCACCTATGTTAATATTTTCAGATGTAAATCTTTCTTTATACTGACATCTCGATAGAATTAATCATTGAGAGATCGGCAATAGGTAGATATATACAGAAAAAAATGCTAAGATTTTAAAAGAGGATTTTATTCTTGTGATTAAATTTATACTAAGTCCCACCTATTTTACCTTTAACAAAGTAATGTATAAACAGACCTGTGGCATATTCATGAGCTCGCTATTATCCTCTATCATTATCGGTAAAAAAGACATTACGGTTGGTTGGCACTGATTTACTTTTTTATTACCAGTATGATATATTATTAGCCACTTTAGAAACAGAAAATTTTTCTAATTAAATTGCTTTGATATATCTACATTTTTATTGTTCATTATTTGACCCTCGATTACTTATTATTGATTAGCTTCACAAGCATGCATAATTTACCAATACCGACAGACATTTATGAATCTCTACTACAAATATGGTAATAATGACGTAGGTATGGACACGCGAGACTATCGCATACCCGAAGTAATGAGGAAGCTGATGAGTGAGGACAAGAGGTTGAACAAGAACGTGAACGGTGATCAGTCACAGTCGCATCACCATCAACACCATCCTCTCGCCGCACATCAGCAGTCACAATCGCAGCAGCAGCAGCGAGGGCCCATGACGAACGACGACTTCAATCCCAATATCGAGGAAGAAGCCAGCGACAGCGCTCAGGGCAGAGCGATATTGAAAATTCCGTCCTACAAGCCCGCCAGCACGCCGGGCTGTTCCAGCAAGAACGGCGAGCCAACTTCCGCCGCATTCGCCCAGAGCTTCGCGGCTGCCGCCTCGAGTCCGGGCCTTCTGGAACGAGCTAGTCCAGCGTTTTCCAGTACCAGCAGCCCCACGAATTCGTTGGTAGGCAAAGCGGTGGCCGTCAATTTCCGCGACGTCATCGCCAAGAGCATCAGCGTCAAGTTCCAAGAGGGTCAAACGCCCAGCGGGGCTGGCATACCGGGCTGCCAACCAGCCGGTGTGGTTCCATCGCAGCAGGCCATGATAACAGACCCGAGTCTGTTCAAGAGGGGTCGGTACACACCTCCACAGCCGCCACAACAACAGCAACAGCAGTCGCCGGCACAGCAATCGCAATCCAAGCAGCAGTCTCAAGAGGCGAACAAATCGAAACCGGGTACTGGCGGTAAGGGCACCAGACCTAAACGCGGAAAATACAGAAACTACGACAGGGATAGTCTTGTCGAAGCGGTACGCGCAGTTCAGCGCGGCGAGATGAGCGTGCATCGTGCTGGCAGCTTTTATGGAGTTCCGCACTCCACCCTTGAGTACAAAGTCAAGGAGCGGCATCTCATGAGGCCGCGCAAGAGGTAAATTTCGATTAGTTGTTTTGATAAAAGAATTGTCCGTCTTATTTTTTTTTTATTGTTTTTTTTTATCTGGAAAGATACAAGCAATCAGTATTATTCGTGAACGATACAATATCTACGTGACAAATCTCAGGATGTCTTGGAATTATATTTTTTACGCCATATGTCGCAAATTATTATAAATGTTATTATATTAAGAGCTAGAAATTTTAATCCGAGTTTTCTTTTCTTCTGCAGGGACCAGAAGCAACCGGACGACAAGTCGAAGGAGACTGCGACGACGGCAGCGGCGGCAGCGGCGGCCGCGGCGATGCGGCCGGGCACTGCTGGCGTCGACAAGAAGCCGCAGCTGAAGCCGCAGAAACCGTTCACACCGCCCGGCGGTATACCCGGTCCGAATGGACTGAAAATGCCTCCGTTCATGGAGGGCATGCCCCACCTGCCATTCGGACCCTTTAACTTCTGGAACCCGACGCCCTTCATGCCCTCCCCCTTTATGGGTGGCGCGCCGAACGTGCCGATCCTTCCGGAACAATATTTCGCATCGCAGAGAATGCGTGGGCTGCAGGAGCAACAACGAAACGCCACGATGGTACAGCAGCAGCATCAGCAACGAGACCGAGATGGAGTTGGCGTATCCGGAACGGCAGACGCGGCCGGAACTTCGAACTCTCGAAGCGCTTCGATGGCGAAGGCGCCGCGCGACATGGTGGAGAGCATTTACGATGGGCCCGGGGCGAACGGCAGTTTCCTGGACAATCTGATCAGGTCGAGCCTTGAGACAGGCATTCCAAGGGACCAGCGGGCGATAGCGGAGGCGAGAAATCAGCAACAGCAATCGTCATCGCAACACCCGGAGACGATGAGTAGCAAGACACTGATCGATCAGCTTTGCAGAAACTCGAGGAGGACCCCGCTGCCGCGGATGGCGCAAGACAGTAGCGAGGACGAAAGTTATCGAGGACCAACGGGCAGGATAGTGCCAGAGAGACCGGAGCGCGTGCCCACGGTTGACCTTAGCCCTTCACCGTCGGAGAGAGGTCGCACGGAAGACGGCAGCGATCGGCTGACGTCACCACCGACACCTCTGTCGATTTCCCGAGCGGGTAGCAGGGACGAGGACAGCACCCGTGACTCGAGGATCGATCGCAGCAGCAGAGAGCGCGAGGTTCACAACGGCGGCCAGGAGGATCGCGACCGGAAGCAGCCTCTGAGTCTGCAACAGCAACAGCAGCAGCAGCAGCAGCAGCAGCAACCACAGCTGAATCACTACCCGGACTTACACAACCTCTACGCCGCGTCAACTGACAAAAAAAGTGCCTGTGATAGTAAGCTTATAGTAGATCATTCGAGCCAGAAGACTCAGCCGCAGCAACAACAAAAGGAATATGCTGCCGTGAGCGGGCTGGTCGTGCAATTGCAGAGGGGCTACAACACCGCGAGCAGCAGATCCGGCGAGCCGACTAACAGCCAGCAGCCGGCGGCGGCGGAGCAGCGCGGCACCGCGCTCAGCATGGAGGACTCCGTAGAGTAGACGAAAGTCAGTATCAGTTATCAGTAAAGTATACAGTTATGAGTACAGTAAACAAATGAAAAGGCCCATATACAGTAAGCCCACATTCCCGCCCAGATCTCTCACACGCACCGAACCCGTGCGTCTTCTCGTTGTTGCGCGCCGCGAACGGGGCTTCCCTTCGCGCTCGCACAATTTTCCCAATCTGACCCGTGTCACGGGCAAGAGGGACGGATTCAGGAAGTAAACAAAATCCTCCTAGCGCCGAATGATCGATTCGAGCACAGGGACGAAGGGAATCCTCAAATACCGTCGCCGACGCCGATTGTACCCTCGATTATCCCTCCCCCCTCCCCCTACACACACACACATCC